GAGCCGCAGGTGGTCACACTATAATATCACTCACTCAAAGACAAGCTGCAATGCCTACTGTTATCAAGATGGACAGGCTCAGTGACTCACATATATATGGGGCACACAAAACTGCATTTTGGATTGGTTGTTTTCATGGTGTTTTAGTAACAACCTTGGTCACTAAGGAATTTACAGGACTACATAACATATCAACCCACCCCCCGTTATACATCATATCAAAATAGGTCAAATAATCTCAAAATGATTCTTTGAGCACGATAATCCATTCATTGTTGTCTATTAAAGCACCTGGATCATCTGAATTTGAAATTAATTGGTATCTTTATTTCGAACATGCAAGAGAGAAAAAAAAAACAATGTTTAAAATCGCTGGAGAGAGAAACGACAAACAAGGTACCTTTCTTTCCTGAGTTAATATACCTCTATTACATATGCAAAAAAGAGTAGGAAGAAGTAAAACTTATGTGCTCCTACCCCTTTAATTCTTGTATTTCTTCAATTTACAATATTTATAATTATGTTGCTATATATATCCATATCTATACACACCAACCTACACATATACATACATAAATATATATACACATATACCCTCATACATATAACAAATAAACAAAACAAAAACTTTCTACAATGCTTCTCTATACCTTCCGAAAATAATTTCTTTGTACATTTTTTTCGAAAAGGAATATGTTTGGGCATTGCTTTAGGTTCTCATTTAGTTTGTTCAACAATTTAGCTCCACGAATTGATAAACATAATCTTTTCCTTGTTGTTCTACATCTATTAGTCTTAAAATTTCCCCTTCCCCTTAAATCGTACCCTCCCTCCCTTTCAGAGAACACCTTTTGTATATTCCCAGGCAATATGTTATGTTTTACCTTGAACATGAATACTGCTATTTGGTATTCAATCAAATCATGGTATTTTAGCAACTTAGATTTTAGAAATAATGAATTTGTATGTTCCCGTTGTGAAGGATTCTTATTGCTCTTTTTTGCATTATGACTAGTGGCTGTAGTGAGTGTTGACAAGTGTTTCCCCAAACCTCTACTCAGTAATTTAAATAAGGTAACAGTAGTGAGCAGTATAGGATGTGAAGTGCTTTGAGATCCAGAATGTACTTAGCTCTTGCTAAGACTGAAATACTTCTGGACAGTTTGGTTTTGATGTGTTTTATCTGTTGCCAACAAACATCCAATGTTTCTATCATGTGGATATGGATCATAAATATGACGATTGTCAAGATATAGTGCAGTTTTGAATGGGAGGCAAACCTTGTAGGTACTCTGTCATTCAGCTCAATCAGTTTTGCAACTGATTTATTATTATTTAAGTAATACACACAATTCATTAAATGAGCTGGAGTGTTAATGTAAATAGAACTTTAGTACACAAAACAAACAAAATATACATTTTTAAATAGATTTACTGACACTTAATCAGCCAGATTATTGTATAATATGCTGCAAAATCAGTGAATCGAGCTAAACCTCCTAACACCCAATTTTTTTTTCGCATTTTACATCCATGATTATAGAAAATCTTATCATAGAAAGTGGCTGTCGAATTGGATTTTCTCCACTTATGCGATGTAGACGATTCCCAGCCATTAGCATGTTAGGTTAGCTTCAATGTTTTAAGGGAAAAGCAGCATCCCCGTAAAACATCAAGGCCAATCTGCAGCTGTTTAGCATGTCTCTGAGCAGCCAAACTTCTCCATCAGCGTGTGCCTCTATTGATGCTGCAGCTACCACCACTTCATTTAACCAGAGCAGTATCCCATACGAGATTCGCTCATTTACATTTATCGAAATCCTATTTCTTTTCCATCTGCCAAGTAGTCACCTGTGAAACTAGTTTTTAACCATCGTTTCAAAGTGCCTCAGCCCTCCATCCAATTCCCTTTATTAGTGTTTACTACAAAGCATAAAAACCAGCGGAGGGGCACCCACTTGCAGTGCTGGTCGTTTTATTGTGAACACCATGACAGGGTTGGCACAGAACATTGCGCAGGGGGGGAAAAAACTAAAGTGTGTCAGGCAGGAATTAAAGAATAAATTTCCTCTCCCCTCCCAATTAAAAGACGCATTTGTGCAACGTGAGCAGAGGAAGGCAACATTATCAATGAAGGGAAGAAAACACACTGCTACAACTCAGGAGGCACAATTACTGGGGCTGGTGGTGTGCAATTAAATACTGCTATTTAGACAGAGCTACTCCCTGCTAATACATGCAGAACATATAGAGGAGACAAAACGGGCTTTGGTTGTACCTCCAAATCCCAACAGCTGGGGGAACAGATGATGGAAATGTAAACACAAACAGCGGTTTAAAAAAAACAAACATAATTAAAAGGGAGATGGAAGCACTAGCTCTAAATACAGTGCTGATGAAAAGTTTATGTACACACTGATCATGGGTGTTGTATTACTTTAGTTTTTTTTATGATCCATTCGAACCATTATTATTCCAGGGCAGAATTACTTTACAACTACCTTAATAAATCATGACAATTAGATAAGGTGCAATTCTCTAATCTAATTATGCTCAGACTAATACATAAAACCTACAAATACACTGCTCTAAACTCAAATAACATGTCCTACAGCTGAAGTAATTAAATATTCTCAATGAATACTGTGTTATTTATAAAGTTAAAAGTGCTTAAAAACAAAATTACAAAAATCATCAATGGAAATCCAATTTGTTATCACATGGAGGCCTGGATTTGGAGTCTTACACAAAAAGTGTATACAAAACGTAATTTCGTTTTGTACAGCTCTCATGACATTTCCGTTTTCTTAAAGTACAGCAGTGATCAAATGTAAATATTATGGGAGAAAAAACATGGTGGAAAAAAATGCATTGATATGGTCAGTTTCATACTGTCTATGACATGATTTAGAGTTTTTTTTCCAACATAAAAAAGTGGAATAACACCATACAGGCTGATTGAACTTTGATGCAACATCCTTAAAACAGGTCAAAATTTGTGGCCTCCATGTGCCTGTATGACCTCCGTAAAACACCCGGCGCAGTCCTGATAGGTGTTGGAAGGTCTCTTAAGTGTTCTCCTCTCAGACTTGAACAAGAGCAACCTTCAAATCCTAAACAGTCTGTGGTGCAATGTGATGTCAGTGGGTGGATAGAGACATGATGTCCCAGATGTACTCATTCGGATATAGGTCTGGGGAGCAGGCGAGCCAGACCATAGCTTCAATTCCTTCATCTTGCAGGAACTGTTGACACACACTAGCAAAATGAGGTCTAGCATTGTCCTGCATTTGGAGGAACCAATGGCCAACCGCACTAGCATGTGGTGTCGCAAGGGGTCTGAGGATCTCATCTCGGTACCTAATGGCAGCCATGATACCACTGGCTAACATGGATGGCTGTTTGGCACTCCAAAGAAATGCAGCCCCACATCATTACTGACCCACTGCCAAACTGTGCAAGCAAAAGGATGTTGCAGGCAGCAGATAGCTGTCCACTGTGTCTCCAGACTCTGTCACATATGCTCAGTGTTACCCTGCTTTCATCTATAAAGAGCACAGGGTGCAAGTGGTAAATTTTTCAATCCTGATCACAAACAATAGTTTTTGAATAAATAATAAAGGGTAACATTACATATTTTATCCTAATATCAGTGGGCTTTTATTCGTAGTTTAGTGTTTAGTCCCGTTTGTTTCCTAGATAGAACTATGAGCTCAGCTTTCACTGTGATCAACTATGTGCTTTTTTCGTCCATTTTCTTCCTGTTGAGTTTTTCCCAGCCTCCACTGCTGCTGCATGCATGCTCGGTGGGATGGATTATACAGTAATCAACCACAAAACAACAGCAGATCTCTAATTTCACATGCTTCTCCAGGAGCGTGTCCTTCAGGTCAATGACTTGATAATCAGCTGGTTTTCCTCAGATGTAAACTTTTTTTTTTACCAATCTGAATGAATGGTCTATGTAAACAGCCTTAAGATCACAGGTGTGTATTGGCATGACATAACTAAACTGATTGGAAACTGAGAGCAGCATATAAATCAGAAGAAAAAAAAATCCATGCTACAGAAGAAAAGGTGAAAATAAGGTTTAGCAGCATCTGCAATTTTCTTTACAGCACAACCCATTACAGAATAAAGAAGTAATCCTTGAAGATGTAGCATTTCAGTGAATCACTGTACTATTATTTAGTTGGATGTTACTGAGTGTTTTTGCTCCAATCTGAAGGAGTAAACCACCTTCACACTAATAAAAGGATTTACAGCCCTGAAAAACTGGAATAAATTCCACTATTCTTCAGCTTTCTAGGTGTTGCTTTAAGAGCAACATCACCAGGTTTACATAAAAATCCTATGTTGGAAAAATCTTCCTGATAGTATAATACCTGTGTCACCATGTTTTAAATTTAGAAACAAAATCATCCCATTGTTCATTATTTTAACTAGAGTCTTGCTGGAAAAAAAGCCCGGTTCCATATTGGCCTCACCTAATGGATTCTCTCACTGAGTTAACTTTAATCATCCTGGAGCTCATCATTGGCCGTTTGAAGCTGATCTTCCATTTATTTAAACAGTATTTGGTGGTTTACTTTTTCTGGTTTTGATCTCCGAGTTAAAGCATTCCAGAACATTTAGGCAAAGCAGAATGTCGGTTTCTGCACTACTGTTTATATTTTGCCCGCTGCTACCACTTCAACCCAGCCCTTTCAATTAATTTAATTACACAGAATCAGCAGCAAACATGCCGAGACTCTTGGGTTCTAATCAATCTACAAAATGCAACTTAAAAAGCCCTTTAAGCTTCAGTATTGTAAATAACAAAGTAAAACAGTACAGTGCATTCTATTTGATTAAAATTAAAAAATACTTTAGTGCTGAAGAGAAATGAAGAAAAATCCACTACCATGCCTTTCACAGACATGAAAATTTGACCATAAGTGTGATTGATTCGTTCCACTGCTGTCATCTTTTAATGTAAAAGAACAAAAACAGCAACAAAACACGAGAGAAAGAACACATTTTTATTGTAGTAGATATTGCAGTTTTAAAAGGTAGGATCTGAACTGAACGGTACAGTACAGAGGGTGAGCACCACGCTACTCCCACACTGCATTAAGGAAGTATGAATCATCGGCGGCCTCTCTGCAGCCCCTCAAATTATAATCCTTACAAGGTGAGCGGAGCTTACTGCCACTGTTAACACGATACAAAGCTGGAGCAACAAGTAACAGAAGTCGTGAAACTGGAAGGTGGAGTCCTTTTTAATATGTGTTAACCTTTCGAAACATTTGGGTGACTAAACTTTAGAAAACTTTCTTCTCTCCAACCACTCTCTTCTTTTTTCTCATCAGCTACGCTTGTTCTTTGTACTGCTGATGCAGCATCAGCACGTCATCCTGGGAGACCCTCGTCCAGCCTTCACTGTGGACGTGGTACAGGTTGACCTGTCCTCCGCTGTAGGCGTCACGGTATGTCGCCTGGAAGATGGCGCGGCGTCCCAGCTCGCAGGCTTCCTCCACCGTCAGATCTTGCCGCAGGCCGCTGTCCATCACGCCGTACGCGTACATGGAGCCGGATCCCACAGCAAACAGGTCGCCACACACCCGGTTACCTTCTGAGTCGACGTAGTACAGCCCTAAAAGGAGAGGAGAGAGGATGGGTGAAGAAGGAAAGGAGGAAGGGTTGAAGGAGTTAAGCTCTGGCAAAAGCTGTAATGATGTACCACAAAACGCACAAGTCTGTAAATGTACGCACTCGCATCTGAAACATCCTCCAGAGAGAACATAAGAGCAGCTGCAACCCCTCCAAGTGAAGCAAGGGCTGGCAGATATGAACAGCTGCATCCTCTTAAAGTAAAATGAAGCCGGCCGCGGAGCCTGCTGACAAGGCGCGGCCCATAACGCCGTCTGCCCAGAGGCCGCTCTCTGGAATCTTATTGATTCCCTGCAAACAGGCCAAAAATTAACTATCGACCCATAACCTGAGCTGCCAGGTAACTGCAGCTCACACCTCGCCAGAGACGACAGGCAAAATATAAAATAACACAACCTCTGCTCACATCCTGTTGATATCAGACACACTAAGGAGGGTAATTCGTCGTGTTCTCAGCCTTAGTCAAGCCGCCCCTAACGTAATCCCATGAGCAACGCAGCCCCACAATGCTCCGACGGACACGTGAGGGACAGCTTGCTTCGCACCACACGTCACGGACACATGCACAACATTTTGTTCCACGCCGTGACACACGCTCCCACAGGCCCCGGCTCCAGAGTGACGAGCACCAGCCTGCGAGTTCGCCCACAGACGGCCAAACGAAGCCAATCTGCGAAAAGGCATGTTTTTTTCCCCCTCAGAAAGCTTTCACAAAGCAGAAACCTGTGAAAAAAAAAATAAAAAATGAACAAAAACGAAAACACATGCAGATCAAAATGCACCGTCGCTGATTTTCAGCTTAACTAGTGACAGTCTATTAAAGCTCGAGAGCCACTTGCTTTTCAGGGTGTTGGGAGGAAAAGAGAAAAAAAGCTTAGTGTTGGTTTCAGCTGGCAAATTGCAGCTTCCTAAGCCTGTCGTTAGATTGCCATGATAATCATCCAGCGCCGGCGTATGCACGGGGGTAATTTACCATTCCAAGACCTGCCTGTTCCACTTGGAAGCTGTGAGGGACTCGTTAAAAGCATAATAGGCAGGGAGAGGGAGCTGTAAAGCGGCCCTCTTTTGTCGAGTGGCACGGTTGACGGAGGTGGTAGAGGACTCTTTAAGAGGTCCAAGTTTAGAAGCGCTATGGTAGAGCACACCTGGAGTCTTTGTGGAGCTTTGTTGTCTGTCCCTCCCGCCCTGACGCAGCAGGCGTGTGCACGCTCACGGAGCAGCGCATTTTTTTTAAAGGAGTGACAAAATGAGGCCTGGAAGCAAAGGAAAACGCTGGCCGGATGGAGGAAGTTTGCAGCAGCGCCGGCCGGCCAGCAGAGACGACTTCTACTTGATCAATCAGCTGACAGGTGTTTAAGGAGTGCCTCTGTAAGCAGCGGCCAGGAAAAACACTATTTAGATGTGAGCAGAAAAAGATGGCGCGATTAAGTCCCTCTGCTGTTTCCCCCCCCCAACAAAATGGCTTAGAGGTTAAAAAAGGGAAGTGATTGTAGTGACAAAAGAAGCCATTACATCACCCTCCTGGGAGCAGCGGTAAAACTATCTGCCACATGGGTCTGACAACGCTTCAGATCACACAGCACCCTTCTTTTCTTTAATGAGGCCCAATTATTCATATGCAACCCTATTACAAGCCCGTCCTGCCCTTGAAATGAGTCCCTACTTTTCGCTGTCGCCGTTTTTTCTCCGTTGAAATAAAAGCTGTTAACTGTACCCTGATTACAAGTGTCATAATATGTAATGTTGTTACAGGGAGCCACATTTGTCAAGCTCCTTAGCGTGGCTTTTATTCCGTTTATTTTGCATGCAGCTTAAGACGCTTCATCTGGGGAATAAGTGCTCTTGACGGCGTTGTAGTCGCCCTAATGAGCTTTCTGCCTTATAATGATTGATTTAATTTCCATGACATTTACCTCTCCGCTCAGTCACCACTGAGACGGCAGTGAAATACCGACATATTTACATTACATGACCTATTGGACTCATAACGGGATCATTATCTCCCCAATTGATTGGTGGGGATTTAGCGCATGTCACCAGCATTTGTCGTTGAGCTGCTGGCCCCACAAGATAAAGCAGGCATTGATCGCAGCTTAGCGTCATGGCATTTATACATGTGACCCGATTGTCCAGGATGAGACCCACCGCCCATCATCCAGCTGCACTTTCTCTGGCCCTCAGTCACAGGATCATTGATTTCCCATTACCATGTCACTGTGGCAGCCCCTTTAAACACACCTGGAGATGTAAAGGCCCGCGACATGTGGCATCCAAAATGCACAGCTTGGCATGTAAACAAGGGGAGAGAAAGAGGAGCTGAAGTACCATCTAGTGTCTAACTGGAGGTACTACAATTTTTAAACGACTAAATTGAAGAAGGAAAAAAATAGGGCAAATATTTGTCTAATTTTGAAATTTTTTATTTTGATCTATCAAAGTACTCTTTGGGTTTCTTTAGCTCAGAGAGACATCAGTTCATTTCTTTTTGGTCTTAGATATCCCCTCGGATCAGTCCTGGAATAATTAGCTCACTGTGTAATTCTGTGAGCTGCAGAACCGTTTCATTGCTTGAATTTTTGTTTCCGTTTATAATAAGCTCGCCTCCCAGATGGGATAATTGAAATAAATCCTAGTTTATAATAGCAATGCATGTCATTTTTGCAGTTTTAATTATTCAATTCAAATATACTTAATTCATCATAATGGAAAATGAATTGATTAAATTACATCTATTAATTTGATTTAGAAGGAAAATATATATTCATTTCCAAATCAAAGATTTTACTTTTAAGCCAGTTTAAGACTTTTACTGCTAAGAAGTGGAAGAAACATGTTGCATGGTTTTCTAAATTCTATACAAATAACCTAAAAGGTGTGGCACACCTCTTTACTAAGCTCCCTGGACCAGTATTTCTAAATGGTCATTAGGAAGGTGAACATCTTTACTGCTTTAAAACATTTAAGTTAAAAAAATAAAAATAAAAAAATCTAAGGTTTTATTTTTTTCTATTTATGTCCATTCATTTTCCATGGTGGCATGAGTCTGTCACCATGTTTGATAGGATGGTGTGTTTGAGGCTGTTACGCCGTAAATGCTTTACTGTTTAGATTTAATTTTGCATGCAAGTAAAAAAAACAAAAAAAACTGTTTTTTACCATTTAAAATGATTGTCACTCACAAACATTAACCATCAGGCGAATCATTTAATGTCCCGTTGCTAAACTGCATGAACATTTTATAAAGGAGGGTGTGTGCAATGCGACTGCAGTATTTACCAGGCCCTCTCTTGTCCCAGCCACACACCATGGTGCCCATGCTGAGTCCCATGCCTTTGTACTGGTACACCATGTTGGCCAGCAGTTTGGAGGCGGCTGCCACAGAGATGCGCTCTTTGTTTCGCAGCTCGTAGATGCGGCACTGGCGGGCCAGAAGGCGCTCCCAGAAGCTGCAGTCTGCTGCGCCTCCAGCCATGGTGCCCAGGAGGTAAGGGTTGATCTCGATCACCTTCTTCACCGTCTGCGAAGCGATGTAGGAGCCCGCTGTGGCCCGTGAGTCCACCGCAACAATGACTCCATGCTGGAACTGAAACACACACAGACATGTTGAAGAAGCTGAAGTAGAGACTGATTTCTTACCCGTATAAACCTCCATGGTAGTGAAATTATGAATTGGATAAAGACCTGATATATGACATGAGCCTATGTGGTTTTTATCATGCTTGATTCACAATTAAGGTGTAGAGCATCTCTTCTGTAGGGACCGGCATAGTGTATCTACAACATAGTTAGGCTCTGGAGTTTATAAACAGACCAACTCGATCGGTGTGCAAACAAACTAATGGTGACCAAATCAACTACTGATCCAGGATTCTGTGTTTGAGTTAGGCTCACAATGCTAACTTTTAAACTCACCATCGATACACAGGAAAATACTCAATACCAGTTTTGATATCATGGGAGTGAATAAAAAATATCACCTCTTTTAATCTCAACATAGAGAGTGCGTCTCAACAGAATCACAAATTCTATTAGTTCAATAAGTGTAAAAATAAATAGTCCAAATACGACACAAAAGGACAATATTATAAGGTTTTTTGATATAAATTTTTTTATCTGCAAATAATTTAAAAATCTTAAACATAGCAAATCTATCCAAACAACACTTGTATTTAGTATCAATACCACAACAAATCAGTATTGTATCAGGATACTTTTCCAAGTATGGATACTTTTAACAACCTTAGTGTGAGAGGAGCTAAGTGTTTTAATTTTGTATATTTCCTTTCCTTTGAGAGCCAACGCAGTGTAATTGACAAATAAAGATGTAGCTTAAATTAAACCTCCAATAAATAAGAGAAACTTGTTTACATCTAAAACAAAAACATACCAAATAATCAGAAAAAAATTCTGCTCTTCCTTCTAAAAACTATTACCAAATTATTTATTTCAGGAATCAAAATAAACCTTTATACTTACAGATGTATTAGGTTTGTTCCTTCATCCAAGCAACTTAATATAAGTATAGGATTGTATTGCCTTAGTAGTTGTTGAAGACAGAGTGTCAGGTGAATGTAAAATATGGTTGTGTTTACTTGAATTGTGGTCAGTGCTACCGCTCATTAATGATTTCTTTTAAATAGGAAGAGCATTTGCCTGAGTTGTAACTGCTAATCCTTTAAGAATAACAAGAGAAAGAAAAATTTAGATTTACATTTATCATTCACTTACATTGTTTAAATTCAGCTAATAAAGAAAATTGAAACATAATGTTTATGTCTCTTTAGATGGAGAATATCCTCCTTCTCCATAAGGAGGTATTTCAACTTCTGCTTTGGCTTCAAAAACTCAGCAAAGAATAAAAAGATGCAGTCTATTAAAGAGGTCAAATTCTTTTAGATTAAGGAGACATGGATCTGTAGTCTCCTACAAGTCCTAATGTGCAGGTTTGGGGATCTTTCTACATAAAGTTAGTTTTTCCACCCGACTCCTAAAAACATTGATCTTTACTGTAGTGTAAAGACGATTCAGCAGAAGCATGTTAACTTTTCTTACACCTTTTTTTCCTATACAAGATTATGTATAGAGTAAGGTGATAAGAAATTAAAATTTCAAAGTAGTAACAGTTACACACAAGGGTAGCAAATAATGGTGGTTTTAATGGTTCAGTGCCACAGAAGAAGGAATTATGCGACAGATTAAGAATAAATAGATTTCGTTCTTAAATCATTAAATGAATACCTAGATCTTTTAATCCATTTGCTATTTACAAGCAAGCTTAGTATGAGGGATTGCATTTGAGTCAATGAGTCGATGCAATCAACTGGTTTTCCTTAGAAAACTTTGAATCAATTTGACTGTATGATCT